CTCTGCCATGCCTTAATTAATTGAATCTAAACTGAATCTTCAAAACCACTCCTTGAAGTAACCGTTTGAATGAACCCCACTCTATAGAAGAGGCGAGTAGGGCTCAGAGAGGGGAAGTCACTTGTCCGAGGTCACACAGCTGGTAACTAGGGAGTGTGAATTTAAAGCCAAGTCTGTCAGAATCCAAAGTCCATGTTTTTTCTATTCTGTCACGCTGCCAAAGAGGCAGTGTAATATACTGACTAACAAGCTGATGTGGGTTCCATCATTAGCTCCGCCAGGTTCAAACTGTGTGACCTTGGGCAAGTAATTTAACTTCTCATATTCTTCACCTTTATAGATGAGGATTAAGAATTGTTTTCATGGCCACAGGATTGTCAAGGGGATTTCAGGAGATTTTGCACTTAAAGCACTCAGATAGCGCCTGGCATATATAGACAATGGAAAATGTTAGCAATAATCTGTTTCCAAAGAGTAAGGCAGTTTGGTTTCTGGCTCCATCTCAAAGCACTTTATCAACCTTCGTTTTTCCAAAACCACTCAAAATTCACTGCCGTGGATGCCCTTGTTTAATTAAAGATAGGAATCATAATAATCACGAGAATAGCCAATCGTTTTCTGTGCATCACCAAATGCCTGGCACTGCCCTCGGTGCTTCATCTCCATCTCATTTATTTAGTTATTTTTTATGGTGAGGAAGATCAGCCCTGAGCTAACATGCGATGCCAATCCTCCTCTTTTTGTCAAGGAAGATTGGCCCTGGGCTAACCTCTGTGCCCATCTTCCTCTACTTTATGTGGGACGCCGCCACAGCATGGCTTAGACAAGCAGTGTGTTGGTGCCTGACGGAGATCCGAACCTGCGAACCCCAGGCCACTGAAGCGGAGCGCGTGTACCTAACCGCTGCACCACCCGGCCGGCCCCTCCTTCACCTCATTTAAATTCAGTGAGAGGCACAGTCAGGCTGTCCTGATGGCAGCGGCTGCTTGAAGGCAAGCAGGGGTGAAGGCATCCCTCCGTATTGCCCAGGCACCGCAGTGGCAGTAACAGGTACCATTTGTTGAGGGCGTATCACACGTCAGGCACCCTGCTAGGTTCATTATTAAAGCTGAGTTCATGGAATCCTTCCAGGGAGGGGCTGCTACTATCCCTATGTTGCTGGTAAAGAAACTGAGGCTTAGAGAGGATAAATAATTCGCTGTGATAGCTGTTTGGTTCAGGTGGACCTTCATTTACATAACACACATTTCTGAGGCTGATGCTTAAAATGAAAAATTCCCCCCTGTGAATTGCAAAGAAGCCTTGCTTTGGGAAGTAAACAGCCCTACACCTCAGCAGGTCTGCTTTGTTAATTAGCTTCCTAAGGCCCAGTTTCCCCAAATCTTGGCATTTCAGAGCTTGGTATTTGAGAAAGAGACTCTGGCTGTTAGGAGGATAACTTCACGGTAAAGATCAGGAAATTCAGGCCTAGAGAGGTGAAGGGAACTGCCCCAGGACACGCAGTCTGACAGCAGCAGAGCTGGGACTCTAATCCCGGTAGGTGGACTTTTAAAAGGTTGGGGCCGCCCAGTTAGTAAGCAAACGGGTGAGGGACTTTGACCAGGAAAAGGAAGGGAGGGACCTTGTAGCCTTCATTTCCTCACCTGCAAAATGGGGTCAAGACGGCCCCGCCTGTGTACTGGTGGGGGTTAGGTGGGTGTGGCCCAACCCAGGGGCATCCAGCCTGTGACAAACGGAAAGTGGAGGGATGGCCCGAGGGTCGGGAATCCCCAGAGGTGGGGGTGGACGGGAACAGAGGCGGAGCTTCAGGAGTCAGAGGCGGGGACTCGAGAATTCGGGGTGGGGCTTGGAGTATTACGTATTTAGATAAAGTGGGCGGGGCTTCTAGAAGTTGGGCCGGGGTTTTGTGGCCCGTTCTGAAGCAATGGGATGGGAGCTGGGCTTAGGGATCCAGGAGGCTGGTGAGGGGTTTTGATGGGGCAGTGGGCGGGGCTCAGAGGAGCTGATGTTGCGGTTTTAAGGGCTCTGGGGGAATCTTTGAGGAGCCGGGGAATGTGGCCCTGCACAGCCAAGCGGGTCAGTGGGCGGAGCTCTGAGAACGCCCCGCCAGGTTCTGAGGAGTAGTGGGCGTGGCTCGGGGGCGCTATGGGCGTGGCCCGCCGGCCGCTCAGATGACTCAATGGGCGGTGCGTGCACTTGGGCACCGCCTTCCTCCGCGGCCCGCCTGCATCCCTCGGCGCGACCAGAGGGGGCGCTAGGGAGAGGGAGGCATGGAACGTAGGGTGAGAAGCGGGCTTCCCCTCCCGGAAGTGGGTGTGGCGCGCCGC